GAGAAAAAGAAGAAACAGTTTTACTGTTCCTCACAGTGATTTTGACTTCTCCAAAAATAGCTCAAAAAAAGTCCTTTCCCAAGATGAGTGCATCTATGAGCCCCAAAGGTTTATTAAAGCATGTAAAGATGATTTATTTAGACCATAGGTTGGCACTTAAAAAGACACTGTTCTTCCTCCTTCTTGGTTTTGCATTCCGGATATGTTACACAGAATATAACTGTTTTGGCTCAGGTGTAAAGCGGGAAGCGGGTGAGGTTTACTAGATGCTACCTTTGCTTCTGACACTGGATCCTAAGAATCTGATGAAAATGCTTGTGTTTGGCTGTTACAACCAGGTTATGTCAATGACTGTATGTAAAGACTCACAGTGGTGATCTTTTTTGCTGTAGATCTTTCCAAAGTGAAACTGATGCGGTTTGATGATCCTCTATTGGGGCCTCGACGAGTTCCAGTCCTGGGGAGAGAGCACAGTGAGAAGACACTCATATCTGAGAATGCTGTTTTCCACGTGGACCTAATAAGCAAGAAAGTTCACCTCAGTGAGAATGGGCTGTGCGTGGATGTCGGCGACACAATGGTCTATCTGGTTCACTGAGCGCCTGCAACCTGGAGCGTTACTAGGTTTTTAGGATACTTTTGCTTTGAGAACCTCAAGCTGGATCTAAATAGACACCATTTCTAACTGCTGGATTCTATATGTAATCATAATTATACCAATTCTCCCTTGATTTCTAATCTAATAAACTTGCATTTTTCAACTTTGGGCCTCTAAGAGAAGTAGTTTATAACATGTTATTTATTTATTTTTAAATTCTTTATTAATTACACTTTATTCACTTTGTATCCCCCCTGTGGTTCCCTCCCTCCTCCCTTCCTCCACCCTCTGCATGCATGCCCCTCCCCAAGTCCACTGATAGGGGATGTCTTCTTTTCCTTCCTTCTGATCTTAGTCAATTAGGTCTCATCAAGAGTGGCTGTATTGTGTTATTTATTTTTAACAGATAATTGCTGTTTCCTGGGAGTTTCCAACCTTTACACAAAAGTGACAGGATGCTTTCTTTTTGGTCCATTTTTGTGTCAGACAGGGTCTCACGTTAGCCCAGCCGACCTTGGGGGCCTGAAGAAGGCTTTGCTCCTTAGAGCAGGAGTTAAAGGCCATTGGGAGCCTGCTCTAGAGATTGAACACTGGTCCCTGCAAGAAAAGCAAGTGTTCTTAACTGTTGAACTATCCCCTCTAGCCTTCTTCTTCTTCTTCTTCTTTTTTTTTTAAATAAGTAAAATACACAGTTTGAAAGTCAAAACTATCCATTCACAAATGTCTTACACTATATTTCCACTTAATAGCTAAACGTTATTATTTAATTTCTTGGTCATGTCTTCTGTGTTTCTTTCCAAAACAGGCAGTTAATTTATTTATACTTCAATTTCTTTTTTCTAATACAAATAGTAGGAGAAAACATTTTTTTCTGTAGAATTTTATGTAGATATCTTTCTATGGAATTATATATGAAATTATCTTATACTTTGTTTTTAAAGCTAACACCATAACCTGAATATGTGGTGATGAGAATTCTCTTTCATCCCCCTACCCCTACTCTACCTGCCCCTCTTCCCCCTTTCACTCCCTGCAAGGTGCTAGTGTGAAGGGTTACTTGCCAGACCTTCTACAAATGCACACTCACGCTCTTTGGAGTGTTCTTTCTCAGTGTTCTGTAAACTCTGTAAGAATGTGTAGTGAGTGGCTGGAGAGGAGCACCACTCAGCAGCTCTACATACTTGCTGCTCTCGAAGTGGACCCGGGTTTGGTTTTTGGCACCCACAACCACCGACAACTCCAGTTTAAGGGGACCTGATGCTCTCCTCTGGACTCTCAGGCTTCTCAGTGCACATACTGTGCATGAACTGATACGGCCACACACACATACATGTGAAAATAACAAATAACTGAAAAGAAAGGAAGCATGGTGGATAACCTTAGGAATACATGGTGCATTTAAAAAAATATTTTTTATTCATTTAACTTTATTTTATGTGCATTAGTGTGAAGGTATCAGATCCCTTGGAATTACAGATAGTTGTGAGCTGCCATGGGAACTGAATCCCGGTCCTTTGGAAGAGTTGGCAGTGCTCTTAACCACTGAGCCATCTCTCCAGCTCCTATGGTGCATTTCTTTGGGAGCGTATATTTAGAATGAACTTGCAGAAGTGAGCTAGCTTATAGGTTCAAGGGTAGATGTGCCTGTACTTTTGTTAGCAGGTGCCTGGGTGCCACAAATACAAAGGCCATTTGGCTGCATGTTGAAGCGGTAAAGAGCAGGGAGGCCCCATCAGAGAGGCCTGGAGATGAGAAGAGCGTGGTCTGCCACCTGTGGCAGAGGGGGCGAGCGGGGGGAGGGGGGATGTTCCATGCACTGCAGTCAGGTGAGACTTCACAGACAGGTGTGTGGAGGATGGGAATGAAGGAGCAGCCGAAGGAGAGCAGGTTCTCCAGCTCCTGAAACTTGCAGATAAGAACTTGAGGTGATGGCTGGCTGTGCTTGTTTGGGAGATAATGCTTAGGATGGGATGTTTAAAATTAGGAATGAGAAGGAATCTGGAAACAGGTAATTAGATGGGGCCTTTTCGTAGAGCTTTGGATTTCAGGGTAAATTTGGATGTTTTAACTTAATAGTGGAGTGCCACTATACATTTTTGAAGCAAATATATTTTTATATTTTTATTTTTGTTTTTTTTAAGATAGGGTTTGTCTGTGTAGTCCTGGCTGGCCTGGAATCCTGTAGACCATGCTGACCTTGAACTCAGAGATGTACCTGCCCCAGCTTTGCAAGGATTTAAGGTGTGCACCACCTTAAATTAATGGCTTAGTTTTTAAATATTTTGATATAGTTCTTGAAAATATATTTCTTTTACACTCTTAAGAATGTGTGGACTTAACACTATTCGCTTGTTCACTGTTCTTTCGTGTCTTGGACATCACATTTACCTTAGAGCAGTGGTTCTCAACCTTCCTAATACTGCAGCCTTTTAATACATTTCCTCATGACCCCAACCATAAAATTATTTTTGTTGCTACTTCATAGCGGTAATTTTGTTGCTCTTATGACTCATAATAAAAATATGTAATATGCAAGATATCTGAATGCCACCCCTGTGAAAGGGTCATTCAGTCTCAAAAGGGGTTGAAGCCCATGGGTCGAGACCACTGTTGGAATACCCCTAAACCTGAGGTATTATAATTAAGTTTCTAATTGTTCAGTGCTATGCTATGTAGAGTATAACTAATTGCATAACCTGGGTAGAGCATGACCCTTCTGAGGGTCTTAAAGAATGTAATAAAAGGGTACTGGACACGGTGGCACACGCCCATAATCCCAGCACCCAGGGACACAAAGGCAGGCAGATTGCTGTGAGTTCAAGGCCAGCTTGGTTTTTAAGGAGAGTCCAGGACAGCCAAGGCTATACAGAGAAACCCTGTCTCAGTAACACCCCCCCCCTTAAAAAAATGTAATAAAGGAATCCTTAACTACATGTTCAGTTTGCAAGAGGAGATGGTAGTTTGTTCCTCATGTTTCTTGTGACAATAAATTCAGAGTTGTGCTGGTCAGGGCTTTGCCACTAGCCATGCAAGTCTTCAGAGCACTTGAAGTGTGGCTGGGCCAGCTCTTGATGTGCCATAACTAGTTTATGTTCCAGATTTTAGAGACCCAGCATGCAAAAAGACTTCAAGATCTCAATAACAGCTTGAAAATGTTGATCAAGGGGTTGGAGCAATGGCTCAGTGGTTATGCGCACTGGTGGTTCTTTCTGAGACCCCGCTGCTATTCTCAGCACCCATGTGGTGGCTCACAGCTATCGGTGAGCCTTATCCCATGGGACTTGACGCTCTCTTCTGGCCTTGTGGGCACCAGGCATGATCGTGACACAGACATTCATGCAGTCACAACACCTACACATAAAACATTTAAAAAATGGTTGAATGCCAAAATAGTATTGTCTCAAATATTGGGGTAAGTTTAAGTTCGTTTGTTTCTTTTTACTTTTTGTTTTACTTGACTAACAAATCACTCACAATGTATTTCTGTTAGCAATGGATGAAGAGGTTTGTTGAAATTCAGACTAAACATACTTTCATTGCATCATTTGAAGATAAATTGTTTGTTCCATTTCTAGACTTGCTAAATTTCAGAAGTCCCCTTGTTAATGGTACCTGGTGACAACTTCCAGAGTGTTATGTTTCAGAGGTACCTTCCGAATGTCATTTCCAGACCTGTCAGTGCAGGACACTTCCCCTTTTTTCTAAAAACACTCTCAGAATTTTCAGTTGTAAAGACACGTTTTGGATACTGCTGGATTTTTCCAGGGATGTATGATGTGGCTTTCCCCCCTTTTTGTAATTAGAATTATATACTTCAATACTTCTATATGTTGGAGATAGTCTCTCCTTAATCTTTTTTCTTAATGGGTTTCTGATCCTTTGAAGCTTTTTTTTTTTTTTTTTTTTTTTTTTCATGATATGTAATCCTCAGGCTGGAAGACCTTTCTGTTCCTGCGTTGGGTAAATTATGGAATTGACTCATCTTTCAGGTTTGAACCCCTGGTCCTGATGATGAAGCAGCCTTGCTGTCTAGTAGGGTAGAAAAGTGCAGCTTCTGAGACAGAGACCTGGTATGTAACAAGGTAAATACTTAGTATATGTATCTCTTAGAATGTTTTCCCTTCAAAAATGAATCCCTTGTTTTAAATTTGTGTTTACATTGTATCTCCAGTGGTCTCTCCCTTAGGATTAGAAAAAAAGAGACAGACACTCCCCCACTCCCCTTAGGTATGTGCTCTTCTTTAAAAAGATACAATGTCTGTCAGACTGCTGTGACCTCAGGTTCCAGAATAGCAAGGTAACATTCTTTTAAAGGCATGCATCACTTTGAACCTGAGTTTATAGAGTCAGCCTTATTGTCTAAGGGAAAGGATAGCCAGATGACACAAGGACACTTCTCACTATGAGCTGGCTCAGGCAGCTCTTCTCCAGGTGGCACGAGGATGTTTCCTTGTTCAGTACACATGTACCACTCTTCTCACGCATGTCGTCTGAAGACGAGCATTTAATCTCGAACTTGAGGTAGGAAGTTAGATGACTTTTCACCCAGGTTCTGCTGTTGGTAGGACTGTATAGTCAATTTCTTTGTAAAAGGAGGCAGGGAAAGAACAGAGACTTGCAGGAAAGTAGGAGTTACCTACTGCCATGTGTACTTGAAAAGGGTGCAATGGTGCTTGGTGTGGGAAAGGAGAAGGGCCACTCAAGTTAAAGGAAACCTCTTCATTCTCAGTTTAAAGTGGCCCATCCTAGGGAAATGAAACTATTTCCAGGGTCTGCCCATAATCTCCATCCCTTTGACATAAGAATCTCATAGATTTGACTTTTAAGAATTTGAAGGAGCTGAGCGTGGTGGTGCACGCCTGTACTCCCAGCTCTCAGGGAGGCAGAGGCAGGCGGATCTCTGTGAGTTTGAGACCAGCCTGGTCTACAAAGTGAGTCGAAGATCGCCAGGGCTACACAGATAAACCCTGTCTCGGCCAGAGGGGCGGGGCGGGTGGCAGAAGAATTTGGAGTAAACGAGGCTTGAGTAGAAAGTGCAATGCATTCTTAGCACCATGAGTTTGGTTAAAGAATTAGCAGAACTGCCCAGACTGGTGTACCCGGGCCTAGCTTCTTAGAAGAAGGAAATGGAATAGAGTGAAGCCAGAAGAAGGGAGGGTGTAGTTTCCAATCTGACAGCATTACCGAGTAGGGGGAGTGGATGAGACTGACTGCATCTCCTCTAGCTAAAGCTTCCCTCTGGCTTTGAGAAGCAGAGTTGCCATCTTCCTTGGTTTTCTCAATACCGTCTTGCTTTTGGCAGCTAGTGTTTTTATCCTAGTAAAATCTTTATCCTGGAAAATTGAGACTGTTGGTCATCCCAACTATATTTCAAGGCATCTGGGTAGCACGTATATCAACCGGAAAACAAACAAACAAAAAATACCCCAAAAAATATGGACCCAGGTTTCTCTGCCTTTTTTGTTATTCAGGAAAGCAAAGAATGTCCATGTTATTCACTGAATGCTGAAGTCATGTTAGCACCAAACACATGATATTGTTGAATGCTCACGGCAACCAAGAGCTAGAGTACTTAGAACACGGTTGGAGGGGAAAGAAGATGCCAGAACTGAGGGCAGTTGATGGGGTCTTTCTTAAACTTAAAAGAACTAGAATGTAGCTAAGCTGGATTTGGAATTCAAACTTCAGTGGGCACAAACCTGTGCTTTCTGCTTGTAAATGGACAACTTCTCTGATCAGCAAAGTTCTGTGGGCACCAGCTGCACCAATCATGTCCTGTTCTTTATGGTGGCATAAGCAGCCCTTGGGGGGTTATAGACAGACAAGCTGCCCGAGAAGCCACAGTAACTACTTTCACCTCATCTGTAGCAGCCCCAGAATAAGATAAGCCACCCCACCCCTTGCTCTTGCTTTAACAGCTCCTGCCCTGCTCCAAAGAATTTGTTACGCATACCTGACTGCTCTCAAATTCTCCTGCTTTATTCTCCAGGTGCCGGATGACAGGTGTGCGTTGCCACGCCTAGATTCTTAATGGGACCACGAAATGCCTGGCACATAGAAAGTGTCCAGGGAAAGGCTGGCATTACTATTTTAATTATGACAGATGAGCAATAAGCATAAAACTGAAATGTCTTATCCAGCGTCTATAAATCTAAACATTTTAAAATAAAATCACCAAAGATTTAGAGTATTAGAATAGAGTTCTTTATTGAGTTCAAAATTAGGCAAACACACACACATACACACACACGTAATTTTTTCCAACAAGTAAAAGTTACCTTTTTAGTTACTTGATTTGGAGTAGGTAGAAGACTGGCTTCCTTGCTGTGATAAAAGGTGTTATACACATAATTTTAAGATAGAAGCAAAAAAAAAAAAAATTCTTGTCTGGGGCTGCAAGTTGTAAATGGTTCATTTCGGGGAAAAAAAATCTTCTCCAGGTGCTCAGCCCTCACAAATACCGACACTAAAATCAGAGATGATTGAAGCTCTTAGCATAATGATGGAAGCCTTGACGGTTAGGCATCATGGCGAGGAGGAAGTGCCTTGGGTTGTGTAGAGAGATGCAGGAAGCTTCTAGGCTGCCCTTGCTTTTATTTCATCACACCTGAGAGTTAATGTCCTCTACTACAGAATTGAAACACAGGTCAAGCTGCATAACTTAGCTCAAAGGAGCTAGATTTGAGAGGCTCAATAGAAGAGACAGTGGATCTGTTGATCCAATCAGCAAATATTTATCGGTACACACTCAAGGTAGTGTGCTGGATGCTGGGCGTGCAAAGAGGAACAACAGCATGTGCTGCCTGGCAGCAAGGAGCTCACGTGGAGGGAGACAGGATAGGACCAGTATGAGAGCAGATTCTTCAGGACCAGTTTCAAATGTTCGTCAGTGGCTGTGACAGAAGAACCTAGCTCAGGTGGGATTAGTGAGAACCAGGTCTCTCAGTTCTGGAGGCTGGAAGTCTGGGTGTGGGAGAGTACGCTTGGGTTCTATGAGGCCTCTCCTGACTCGCAGGGTGCTTTGTTGCTTTGTCCTATATATGGGAAGAGACCTTCTCCTTCATCAGTCCTATTGACCCAGGATCCCATCCTTCTGACGCACTGAACTTTGCTTCCTATGAATAATCTCAATATGCAGCTACAGTGGGGGCTGGAGGCTCAATATGCATTTCAGAGAACGTGTCAGTCCATGGAAATAACCCCTAACTCACCTCACAACAAACAAGAACACATACACATGCCACAATTCTCTTTTCTTCACAGGGAGCTGAGAGGCAAATGAAATGGTATTTTACAAGTCTGGTTTGAAATTATCTGGTTATAAGTAACTAGTTAGCCACTGGCTGCTGCTCTTCAGCAGCCATGCCTATGGGATTGTTGAGAAACAAAGAAAACTTAAATGTGTTTTCAAATGTGATAAAATATTTGTGAGTTAGACTGAGTGTTGCGACATGAGCCAGCACTCAGTAGGCAGAGGCAGATTCATCTCTATGAGTTCCAGGCCAGGCAGGACTGTATAGTGAGACCCTGTCTCAAAGACAGAATCAACGCACCAAACAACCATGGGATTCATGAGTTCTGTTTGACAATGAAATGGACATAATGCTAACTTTTAGTGTTTGATTTAGCATTGATTTATGTTTTATGCTTTTCTCTAAGACTCAAGAGCATATAGGGTCTTAAGTTGCAAAGGACCAGGGAAACTGTGGGGAGCACTGCACAGTTCTGGATCAGTGACTCCAGCCCAGCCTTCCTTCTGGGCTCTTGTGTAGCATCTTCAGCTCTTTGCTTAGGATCCTCTGATGACTCACTGGATCTTTGGACTAGGTGTGTTTCAAGCATCCTCCCTTCCTGCTTACCCTCTGTTCTGTTTTCCTTGCTATTCCTGGTATATAGACACTGCCTAGCTGGTGAAGGCTTGGAAACTGCTGCAGTCACCAATGGCCTCCATGTCCAGTGCATGATGTGCTCGCTTAATAATTATCTGGAAACCTGACTTCTGGACTTCTTCTTTGCAGACCTGTGTGGTTGGTCTGGGACAAGGCTTTGGAACTTGTTTTAACAAGCTGTCCTGTTTGTTATTGCTTGGGCAAGCTATTAGCTTTCTTGTGACTGTGACAGAATGTATGATATGAACAACGGAAAGAAAGAATTATGTATTTTGGATTACAGATATTTCAACCCATATGTTTTAGCCCCATTGATTATGGGGCCCATGTTGAGATCGTATGTTAGAAATGTGTGAAGAAAGATAGTGTGTACCTTAGGGTAGACAGGGAAGGAGGAAGGGGCTGGTCCCAGAAACCTTTAAAAGCGTGACCAAACCCTTCACAAAGCAGCCTCCACATCCATGATCCCAATAAAGCGCTTCTTCCAAACAGGCCTTACCAACTACACTTTCCAGAATGTCCCCAAATCATACCAACTGGGGAACTTCAACACAAGTCTGCAGGGGACATTTCATGTTTAACTTTAGCAGGCAATAGTGTGTGATAGAAAATGCATACCATGATATCATAACATCTGGTTGATTTTATGGCTCCAAGTCAGAGGCTGGAAAGGGCTTCCCAGGGCAATAAAATCTTGGGATTGGTCAGATATGTTTCACTTTGACCTCTAGGGCATGTAGAACTTGGTGACCTACTCCAACAATGGTTTCTGGAGAAATGGTGTTATGTCTTGTTTCTTTTGTTGCATATCAGAGATCAAGTGCAAACACTTCATGGGGCTTTTGCTGCAGGAGAGGTGTACAACAGCATAATGACAGCATGGTGCAGGCTCAGATTCATTTTAGGCTCCACTGAGTCCAAGTCCACCCAGCTTGGAGCTTGAAGCATCTTACCTTCATCTATGAAAATGGCAAAGCTGAAATTCAGACACAACTTTCTACCCAGAAAGAGGGAAGTTTTTTTTTTTCCCCTTCACCTTGCTGTTGTAGCCCAGTCTCTTGATCACTTGTTCCCTAATTTATGATCACAGAAAGTGAAATTATCCATTCCTTTCAGGGCAAATCAACTCCAGGTTAAGCTTTGTGGTGCAGCTCTGGACGTTCTACGTTGGGGTCATCCACGTTTGGACTCCAGTAGCCTCTCTTGGGTTACCAGATGCTCTCTCAGTCCTGTTTAAAAAGGTGCCTCACTCTTGGGGTTTAGCTCACCTCACCTGTGATGCTCCCTCTGGAGACAGCAGGCTAATTACATGCTTTCAATCAATACAGCAAGCCCCATGACATGGTTCTCCCATCTGAACTAATAGGGAGCGTAAACCACTTAGCTGAGGTCATTGCACCACGGAGGGCCATGCTCGGATCTGACCTGATGTCTCTTTGCTTCAAGTTTGTGAATTTAACTATTATGAAATGCTGGCAAACACTGAGGTGGTGGTTTGGACATTGAACTTGAGTGACAGGTTGCTCCTTAATGGGATGGAAAAACCAAAGCAAACTAAACACCTCAGAGAAGGTATGCTGAAAGAGGGAGTCACCCCGGATTATGAGTCAGAGCCTCTTGGCACCTCGCCCCTCTGATCTACTCTTTACTGTTCTGTCTTGATCAATGGCTGTCATTCTGCATCTTTGTTAAGATAACCACCCTCGACTCTCCAGGAGCCATGTACCAGCCTGTGCCGTGGTGGAGCAGCCTATCCGCAGAGCCAGTGGCAGGACCACAGTCACAGCCATTGTTCCAACTGGTGGGGACTGGAGCACCGGCCTCTTCAGTGTCTGCAGAGACAGGAAAATCTGTACGGGTTTCTTTTTCACGTAAACTCCTTCTTACCATTTCTTTCCCAAGGTGTCAGTGGAAAAGCTACTCCAGCGCAAAGTCAGAAAGTAAATGATTTCAGAAAATCATGTACTAGTCTAGTGTCTCAAGAGTACTTCTTAGTTAAAAAAAAAATTGTGCTTTTTAACAGTGTAGACCCACAGCACTCTGTGATGCATGCCCGTCATCCAGGTACTCAGGCCAGCCTGCTCTACAAGGCGAGTCCAGGACAGCTAGGGCTGCACAGAGAAACCTTGTCTCAAAAAACCAACCAACCAACCAAACAAAAAAACAATGTAGACCCATTCATAGAATAAGTGGTATTTTCAGAGATTAAAAAAAAAAAAAAAAGATAGAACCCATTGTTGACAAAGATACATAAAATAGCCTCCCTCATCCACTAGAGGTGAAAGTGTGAACTGAAAGGGAATAAAGATAGCTTTTGACCTGATAACTACATTTCTAGTTATGAAATAAATTTTCTGCAAGATGTACCAGGAACATTAAAACTGCAGCCTTGGCTACTGAGGCAAAGCTTGGAACAGCATACACATTGCATCGATCCACTGAATTATTATACAGCCAGGAAAAGTCAGTAGTAGAGTAACATTTAATGGGTAAAAAAAAAAAAAGATCTTTTGAGTAAAGTTTTATTTTTATTTAATTCTTATTTTCTGAGACACAGTCTCACTGTTTCCCTGGCTGGTCTGGAACTCATAGACATCCACCTGCCTCTGCCTCCTGAGGGCTGGGACTAAAAAGGTGCATGTTACCATACCTGGCTTGCGTATTTTGGATTTTGGATTCAAGAAGCTGACTGACTGCAAAACTGTGATGATTAGGTTCCATCTGGAGGAGGTGAAAGCATTTAAAAATAAACTGTAGAAGGACACATACACAAATATTTACAGCAGACGTCTCCAGGTGGCAGGCTAACAAATATGTTTAATTTTTAATGATCTCTTTAATATCTCCTTGGGAAGAATTTGCATTACTCTTACAACAATGAGAGCAGCCTGAAAGGAAACCCACTTTGTTGCTTGAGACCTTTTCTGTCACTAGTTCAGTTGTCAAGAAGTTGCCGTTCATGACTGATCCCTGGCTTAGAGCAAAGGCACCTCGAGTCAGTGTTTAATCTCAGCTGCCATGTATCAGGATCCCCAGAACCCACAAGAAGTAAGTATTGTATCCTTTCTCTCCACCCTGTCTTTCCACAGGTAGCTAGTCTGACATTAAGAGTCCACATAGAGTCCACATACTTAGAAGGTTATGGAAATATTTTAAAAGGAAATATATTTTAAAATTAAAAGCACCATTTAATGATCATAAAAATATATTAATATATTAAATATATAATATATTAAAATATATAATAAATACATATAATAAATACATAAAATGTATATTATATATTATAGTAAAATATATCTATAAAAGATAGAACCAAAGGACAGAACAGTAGCTATAATTGTACTTCTTGGATATTTTTCTTCCACCCCCAAATTCCTTTACTTATATGTGTACATAATTTACACAAATGAAAGAATCATAAAAACACATTACTTTATACCTGTTTTAGTCTCATCACACATTTAGGTCATGAGTACCATGTAAACACATCTGGAGCTAATTTCTCAAATTGCTTTATGGATCCCCTTGTGCCACAGTTTATTTATGCAGAAACCCTGTTGGTGGGCCTTTCTGTGGTTTATTCAAACGAGTGCTGTGCGAATACGCTTGTTCGGATGTCAGTTTCGCATGATGTGAGGATATCTGTTTCGGGTAATTGCTAAGGGCACATTTGTTGACCGAACAGAACATGCGTCTTTAAATCATTGTAGGTGTTGCCTAGTGGCTTTGCCCCTGGAAGGTGGACTAATTTATAGGTCCACCAGCAGCGCATGCACATACGTCCTCCGCCCCCCTCCAAAGCGTCTCATTACTGGAAGGCCTGGTTCCTTTGCCATAACTGAACTGACGTGCTGTGCTCGAGTTTCTACTCACCTTTTCTACTTCTGCTGTCTGGGCCTCTGCACCACGGCTTCATTCTTGTGTTTGTCTTGACTTGCCTTTGAACTAGAAGGACGGCATTCTACACACAAGGGTAGAGAACAGGCCTGGGTCTAAGTAAGCTGAGAGAGCTTGTGTAACCATCAAACTTGTAGGTGTTAAAAAAAAAAGCGCTGAATGTATGTCACAAACCCCTGTTGACCTTGAGCTGTGTTTGTCACGCGCAGCCCTCGCCGATAAGGACGACGCAGCAACAACGGATTTGTCCAGCAGCAACTTTATTGTGAGGCTCTTAACAGCAGATGGAGAAGGACCCCGAACCCTGTGTGCGTTCTGCTTAAGTAGCCAGCAGGGTGACTTGTTCGTCTGTAATTGGTGCTCCACACAAAACCCAATTAGCATGTGGTCTCCAAATGGAGGACCACACAAGCCTACATTAGCATAAGGCGGCGCATGCGCAGATCGCAAAACAATGCTGGCAAGAAGAACCAGGAAGCAGGAAACTGGCGCCATCTTGTAATGGCGGGAGTGGCTCCCGACAT